TTCGTTCGGACTGCGCTTTCCTTTTTCCCTGGGCGCTGAAACATCCGGGGTATTCTCGTCCCAGTACCAGACCTTGATGGTTGAACCGGCTGCAGAAACCAAATTTCCTTCGCAGTCTATCCCGAGCTCTGTAACACCGTCTACGCTTTCGTCGCCGTTCGAGAGACTCGGCGTGGCTAAAGTGCCCTTCACTTTTTCGATAGTCAAGGAATGTTGAAGAGTCTCGACAATGCGATTACTCCCTAATTTGGCAATCCGGACTTTTCCGTCGGCAGACCCAGCAGCTACAAACCTCCCGAATTCGGAATTCCTATGCTGAAACGTGTCCGGCAGAGCGACAACGGCATCGACAGACTCCCCAGAAGGCTTTGAAAAGTTGATCCTGTCCCTCTGATCCTCCCATTCGTCTCTATTCCATAGCGCGACAACTCCACTGGAGTTCCCGACAAGTATCTTTTCACCTCCGCGCCCGGCTCTGGCAGGCAGGCCAGATACATATGCCGAACAGAGTTGCTCGTCTTCCTGGTCTTCCGATCTGATGACGGCCTTCCCTTGCCTACGGAAGTCAATATAGGCAAGTGTAGAAGCACCGGTAGAGACAAATTGGCGGGGGAGGCCGCCGCCGTAGGAAGGCAGTGGTGTGATTGAAGAAATGTAGTCATCATGAACTTTCTTCCATGTCTGGGCTGGCCGTGTGAGACTATTCTCGCGTACGTCGTAGAGATGAATTCTCCCAGAGTCAGTGCCAACGAGCAGGTGAACTGGAGATAATGGAGTGATGACCGAGGGATATTCATGTCTGTAGGGCAATGTTTCGTCAGCAACTCCTCTAGGATATAATAGACTCAAATTGGAAATGTTACGTGAGATTTTTTAGTGAAGGAATATAAGCCTTCGAAACAACCTGTCCCGTACCCACGTCGGCAAGCTTAAGGAGTGAATTGACACCGGCAGAGAAGATACCTATGAATGCCAGAAATGTCAAACTTACATACATCCCCCAAAAACCTCACGCTAGGGGAGCACAATACATTCACCACCGGTGGTAAAAGCAACAGCCCTGCAACTTTCGCGATACCTTCTCGTACCCCACTGCATAGCATACTTCCCCCCATAGTCAACCATCACCCCCATTGGTTCCCCACTCTCTTCAGACATATCGCCCCATCTGTAGACTTCCAACCTCCCGCTTAGGAGTCCAGCGGCATAAAGTGGCATGGTGGGATGAACCGAGAGGGAGAAAATATCCGAGGAGAGGAAGATTTTGTTGCATTTATATACCATGGCTGGGATCAGGTCCGGCGTGACGCCGGAGGACAAACTTTTGGAATCGGTATATTTTGTATGATAATATTATTATAATATTGTTTTTCTTTCGTTGGATGGATTGACTGGCGGGTTTGACAGCTTTAAATGCAGGTCCAGGTGAGCCCTGAACTTTAACATTGATTTACCCGGCTCTTGAGGCTCTACGTTGTTGAACATCTCCCCCTCTCCATAGCTTGCCCCACTACCGGTATCCGTGCAGTTGTTGTGTTACAGAGCAATACTGAAAAGTTCAACTCCGCCTATCATACCGGTATTTAGCACTGTCTACCTTCATCACACAAGCCACACTGGCCTTCAAACAACTATATTCCCTATGGCAGCCCTATCCAGCGGTCTCCCGCTGTACACTCCCGACACACAAATCCTCGAATCTGCAAACGTTGAGAAACCCGCAAACCTCTGGACCCACCGAGACCTCGATGAAGTGGCTTTCAAAGAGCTATATGAGATTGACCGGACGGTGGAGGGGATTATAGCTCGTGGGTATACAAGAGTTGCATTACAGTTCCCGGATGAGCTCTTGGGGGATAGTACGAGGGTTTATGAGCTCGTTTTGGAGGGTATAAGCATGGAGAATGGGCAAGAGCCTCGGACAGGAACTACAGAGAACGGGGATAGGCCGGGGAGCGGAGGAGCAAAGTTCAAAGGGGAAGGAAATTGCGCTACAGATTCACTAACGAAACCAATACACAATGAGGAAACAGCAACGCCCGAAGCACCGTCAAGTGCCAAAGTATGTTCCTGTAAAACATCCTCCACCCCCCAAACCACACAACCTACCACCAGCGCAACCTCCGCTACCCTAACCTCAGAGCCCAAGAGAGCCTTCATCCTGGCCGACACCTCGTACTCCGCCTGCTGCATCGATGAAATCGCCGCAGAACACTGTGGCGCCGATGTCCTTGTGCACTACGGCCGTTCTTGCCTCTCACCCACCACCCGTCTGCCGGTAATCTACGTCTTCACCTCAAACCCTCTCGACCTGACCTATGCCGCCAGCACTTTCTGCACTACATTCTCGGACAAATCACAAAAGGTGATCATAATGGCGGATGTTACATATTCTTCTCATGTCGCGCCTTTACACAAGATTCTGCAGGGAATGGGGTACGCCAATGTTTATCCAACAGAAGTGATACACGACCCATCAGCTCAAATCCCCAACAGGAGTTTTCCCCCAGACTTCTCAGTAGAAAGAGGGGAAGGGGAAGGGGAAGAAGGAGAGGGATTAAAGTCATACTCCTTATTTCACATCTCCCCCCCACTTCCCTCCCTCCTCCTAGTCCTAAACTCCCGTGTCCACTCAATCCACACATATGACACAACCACCACTCCACCAACCTGCAACCGGGAAACCACCTCCGTCCTCCTCCGCCGGCGATACGCCCTCCTCTCCCATGCCCGCAGCGCAAATGTAATAGGAATTCTAGTCAACACCCTAAACGTAAAGAACTACCTCCCAGTGATATCAATGCTGAAACGGCAGATCCGGGACTCCGGAAGGAAGAGCTACTTAGTTGTCGTTGGTAAGATCAGCGTCGAGAAGCTGGCGAATTTCGCCGAAGTAGAGGTTTGGGTAGGTGTAGGCTGCTGGGAGCAGGGGATTGTGGGGGGGGGTGCAGAAGGGAGCGGAAAGGGGTTTTTCAGGGGTGTGGTGACCCCGTTTGAGATCGGAATTGCACTTAGCGGGAAGGACGGGTGGGAATGGACGGGTCTCTGGGTGTCTGATTTCGAAAGTTTGCTTAAGATGGATGGGGATGCGAAGCTTGCGGCTGCTGCCAGCGGCAAAGAGGCAGCCGGTGGTGAAGATGGTGGGGAGAAGGAAGCAGACGACGAGGAAGACGAACCCCCAGAATTCGACCTACGCACCGGCCGATACGTAACCAAACCCCGCCACATACCCCGAAAACCTCACTCCATAAAGCACTCTCAAGATCCCTCCACCCCCTCATCTGCATTAATACACACCTCGAATTCGTCAAAACAATTAAGCGGTGCCGTTGGAGGGGTAGTTTCTCCGGCTGCGCAGTTCTTGAAAGATAAGCGCTCATGGAGAGGCCTAGACAGTGATATCCTTATTAAGTATGAGGAGGATGAGAATGGGAATGATGGATTCGGAGCTGCAGTAGAGGCTGGTAGGAGTGGGGTTGCGAGAGGGTATACTGTTGACGGGGAGGGGGAGAGACGGTGACATTCTGTAGGTAGGTGGTGGGTCGGATGTATGTGTGGGGCCTTCGATGTCAATTGGGATTGGAGAATCGGGCGTTGAGAGTCGAGTTTTCGGCGCAGTGGTGGCTATATGTATGGTGGCGCACCGGTGGGTGTTTTGGCAGTGGGCTCAGTTTTTAAACCTTTAGAATACAGGTAAATACGAGTAGAATTCAGTCACTTGGGATCCTATTAAGCTGCGTAAAAATGGCATTTTGCCTCGTGCATTACAGTCGTTGGCGTAGTTAAGACACGGTAATACCCAGACGCTGAACAAATCCAAGCCATATGATACAACAAGTACTCCCCACTCCGGTATTAAGGTGTTCAAAGTTAGGAATGGAAAATGGTGCCAGGGGATGGGAAAAAAGAAAATATCCCCTAGCCCACATATACCATGAGAAAATAATTATGTCCAATAGAGGGCCTAAATGAGTTTCTCTTTAGGGCTCGTTTGGTACGGCAGAACGAATGCACCTTTTTTTATGTCTCAACTTAGGGACCCCCCCTACAGGTTTCCTGATCCATAACAATTGCCAAAAAGACGGCTGCTATCGGGAAATGGCTTTCTCTCATGCTCTCTTGCCCAAGGGATTTGAGTTTCCAAGAAAAATATCATTCCCTCTCCATATGGTGGCATGCCAAACAGGGCCTTGGCCTTTCTTTCATCCTATTTGGCCAATAGCATGTCCCCCTTCTCCGCAGAGCAATCCCTTGAATACCGCCTAGGGAGCCTTCAACCGGGAGAGCCAGTCTCTTTTCCGCTCATGCATCCTTCAAACGCCAAGCTTTCGACAAACTTTTCCATTCCTTAACTTTGAATACCGGTACTCCTTCAGTTGGTCTGTGCAATAATCACTTGCTATCACTCGCCAACTCGCCATAGCTGGCACGTCACATGTTGTGAGAATATTGTGAGAATATTGGATAGAACAATGATATGAGATATAAAGAAGTGATCGATCGCTTGAGAAACTTGAATGCTTAACACTTTCAAAGGGAAGGGCTTAAGACCCTGACTATCTACTGTTTTGGAGCAAGACAAATAGCTTGAGCGAGCAATAACAATAATAGAGAAAAGTGGTGTGTGAGAAAGGCAAGGAGGTATCTTCAATAGTCTAGGATGTCTAGATGCACCATCAGGTTTAATGCAAGGAGAAAGTATCAGTAGTAGGAGTAACACTGCAGTAGTGCGAGAAGTATGTTTCAACATCACATCGCATCACAATGATTCCAGATTCACCAAGCGAGTATGATAGCCGTGATAAAGTTGAGCACTAGCTCTTCCAGCACACTAATACTTCCTAAATTCCAAATTTCGACACCACAAGCAAGCATACGATTTGAAAAAGGTTGAATTATTCATCCTATCATTGTCACCATTACCGTTACTACCGTTAGAGAAAGTTCACATCCCAGAGCTCCCCCCCTTTCCCTCAAAGTGTCTAACAACAGCCTCACCAGTCTTCCCTCTGTCTTTCCCTCCACTCCCCACTTCCCCCTCGGGCAGAGAAACCCTCGTAGTAGTATTAGCACCTCCGGGTGTGTCTGTCGGAGCGGCACTGACACCCTCCCTGAACGGGGCGGATGCAGCGTGCTCGATCAGGAACCTCTTCCGGTCGATGGTCTCACGGATAGGTGTGTACATAAAGTATGCCATGATCCCTGTAACTACGAATAAACCGGCGATGCACCCGCCGACAATGTCATATCTCTCACCGACCTTTTTGACGCCGTCCCAGAAAGGCCCCGTGGGTTCTCTGACGTGGTGGATCAGAGAGAGAATTTGGATCACACCGATCACTACCGCTACCAGGATGGTTAGGGTGGTTAGGACTATGGAGTAGTAAACGATTGCTATGTCATCGTGGGCAAAGGAGGTGGTGTATAGGGCTGACATCAAGGCTCCGTCAGTTGTGTCGACGAGGCACATTGCCGCTTTCGAGCGTTAGTAGATGCGTGAGGCTCACGAGGAGAAGGGGGGTACCAGTGAAAAGGACTGGGAAAATTAGGATAACCCAGATGCTCGTCCCGTGCGCCGCCTCGATGGAGGCGATTCCGAGAAGGGCAACCTGTTCTAGTTAGCTTCCCCTCCAGAAATGCATACTTCCTTACCCGCCTCTGAAGAAGTATCAAATCCAAGGCCAACTGCAATGGGATCTCCGTTAGTCCTTCGTTCAAACATCCCCACTACCCCCAAAACGCAGGAGAACTCACAGAGCACTCCCAACGGGTACATTTTCCACGGCCGATCAATGAACCTGAAAAGTGCGCGACACATCCTCGTCAAGCACCCCACCCCCGGAGTATCCCAGTCACCCACGATACCCTCGCTGAACAGAATACCCTCCTGGCTGGAACGCAAGAGAATATTCAATTGCTTGAAGAGTTTATACAAGATATATATGTTTATTGCACCCAAAATAAGCAGGAAGGCCGCAGAAACAGAAGTTCCGATGATGCTGCCGACACGGGCAAAATCATCGAAGTGTTTACTCACACCGGCAGTTGTTCCGGCAACCACAGTTGAGGTGATTATGACAATTCTGTGATTGTTAGATTGTGCTGCTAGGAGGTGTGGTTAGGGGGCAGGAGGCATGTACGTAGAATGTCCGAGACTGAAATACATCCCAACGGTAACAGGACGCTGTCCGGATGCAATCAATTTCCTTGTAGTGAGATCGATGGCCTGTTACCTTAGCCTATGCTCCACTCTCCATGTAGAGATAATAAGCAATTCCTCACAGCAATGTGGTCGGCATCAAGAGCATGTCTCAACCCCAAAGTATACGCCAAAACCGAAGCTCCGGTCATCCCTCTATGAAAGGACCAACGCCAGCGTCAATTGATGAATTCCCATCGTAAAACTCTAAAGCTTTGAAAGGGGGAAGTAGACTTATGCTTATTCTAATTCCCGTTGTTCTCAATTAACAATCCGTTGGCAGAAATAAAGGGAGAAAGAGCAAAGGGAGGCTCACTAAGACAACCCCCACACCCACCCAACAGAGCATGTTCACAATAGCGACTGCCATAATAACGGCAAGAACTCTTATGGGCAAAGCTCTCAAGACGGGAATTTTCCCATGGCACTCCTTAGCAATACTCTTTGCATGGTTGAAACGGTGATTCATGTCTTCTATAATAAATCCCCCAACGGACCAGTCAGCTTGAGTGTGTTTTTATCAAAAGGGCTTCAGGTAAATACTGGTAAACGCAGTACCTGATATGGCAGATGTTTCGCTTGAGGGCAGGTCGAAGTATGGGATGGTGGGGGGGGATTGGAAAAGAAAAAAATATTGCTTATCGGTTATCGCCTTGGCAGCGGGGTCACGATAAGCGAGGCAGGGGAAGGAAAAGGAAAGGGTAATTAAAATTAATCGATTATGATAATTATCATTCTTGTAAATTGGAGGAAATGGAGAGGAAGAAGCTCACGGTATGACTAGGTATTCTTAATTAAGCGGTAAGTTTTGTGTCTAACGTTTTACTAGAGAAATGTATTGTTGAGAGAAAAATGGGTGAAGAATTGCAAGAAAGGTGAGTGATGGGCCAAGTTTTGTCCATGAAGAGAATGGTAAAAGGGCCCCCTACATAGACAGTTTTCCTTCGAACGGCGGGAGTTGGTGGGACTCGTGAGCCTGCTTTCGGCCCGAGTGACTACCGATGATTGGCTGGCCCGGTCATCTTGTCCCGGAAATGGTTTTTGAGAGTTCTGGCATGGACTTTGCACATCTTCAAAGGAATCGACCGCCATCGCATCTGGGACTTTCTGCAAGCGCCTTATCACAGTGCGAGCAATGACCAGAACACGCTGACACCGTTATTATTTCCTCCTTTTTTTTTGAACGACAAGGCAGTATCGCAGCCTAAGGCTCCTTCTAGTTTCCAGTAACCCTTCCTCCCTGGAAAACATGATACTATCCCTTCTACTTTACTTCGTGGTCACTGAAGCACCTATCATATGTTAAAGATTATCTTGGGTACAATCATAAAGCATCACTCGTCAACAAGATTAGGAAGCCCTCAGGTATGATATAACCTGCTTCCTCTCTCCACCCTCCATCCACCCCAAAAGAGAATAGGGAAGTCAAAACTTTAAGTCAAAACTTCAAGACCCAAGAATCTAACCAACAAGCACTCCGTTGCCAGTCTTATGTGCCCCAGTACTCCTCCGCCGGCTCCGCAAGGGGTCACAAAAGCGCTTTAGCCTAGGGTAGAAGGAGAAGAGATTATCGTGCACATGAGCGACCGCAGCATATATTACAACCAAAATGCGCGGTCTATATGGGACGTGAACTGTTGCACCGGCCATGTATCTAAAACCCTCTCCCTTCCCATGTCTCTCCTCCTTATCTGAAACATTTCTTATAATACGGTTTCATACTTAGACCGGCGGAGTCCCCAACCTGGAACCAGGAACCTAAATCCGCTTTATAGTAGTTAATCAAGGTCCCGCATCCGCGGCCAAAAAGGAACAAAAAGACCTCGCCTCGCTCGGTTCTCGAACGGCGCGCTTGTGTGGTGCTGGGGGCCAGATGGCTTCATAAATAGGTGTTGCTATCGTGCTAAAGAGGTATCATAGTGTACTCGAGTAGGGATACCATTCCTAACACCAAGCGAGTATTTTCACCAATTTGGGCGGACACGGCTCGGTGATCAACCTCGAAGAGTTTGACGAAAGATTTTTTACAGCTACCCTATAGGATTCTGTGCTCCTAAATGCGTTACCTTCTGAATGGCTGAGAGCTCGGTGCGGCTAATCTAGCCATTCACATCCGATCCTTTCTTACGCTCGAGCATGCTTTGGTCTCGCCCGGAAGCATGCGAGCCATGCTGTGGGTTGGGAACTTGGAATCTGAAGGGAGAGTACCACATACTAGCATCCCCTCGCTCCTCGCGGACCGATTTCTGTGCTCCTGTTATATTATTACGCTTAGTTACATTTTATTGATATTGTATACCGTGGTGGATGAGTCATTGCTTATGTGATACATTGTTAGATGTGTGATGCAAACTGCACTGGGGTGCATTGCTCAGCATACGCGCATCAGATTAGATGTCATAGATCGTATTTTTCTTATCTGATGGATCGAATTTGGAGATTAATGTTGCACAGTATACATAATGAGATAATGAGAAGATAAGCAAGGATACGAGGTCCGGGGTGCGCCTAAATTATATAAAGCATAGGTAATGATTGAATACTCGGCCGGCTCAATCATCATTAAATTTTCTGGGAATTTGGGGGTGGGTTTATGGGCAAAGGTCCACATTATATAAATGGCCTAAGTCTGTGAGGTTACTTAATCAATCAACAGCTGATGGTGAGTGAATACTGTAGGGTACCAGCACATTGACGAAAACAATACACAAGTGACCGTCGAGTATCACAATGCCCGAAAAACAGGCAGGTTCCTGGCGCCCGAGGGTCACAACCATTCTAAATTGTAATTCATCCCATGGATTCACCACTGGAAGGACTCAATGAGAACTGCTCTTGATACGCCGGGCTCGATTGCGTAGGTTTCGAACAATATCTTTTGGCTAAGACATTAGTTGGCAGGATATGCCGAATCGACCATAACCACACGAAAATCACGGGAGACCATGGAAGCTTAATTACGAACCAGCCCACCACCAGTGTGCAATTACCAAAGGCGCTCCAAACGATGAACGGAAATCATGAATTAGAATAAACCCACTAAGGTTGACACCATATGGCAGCTAATATCAGGAAAGCTTGTCACCCAGCACATGCTGGAGGGTCGAGTCCATCCGTCTTCTATTATCAGTACACCGACCCCGCAGAACGAAAAAAATTGAAAAAAATTGAAAAAATCCCCCGATAAAAGAAAATTAAGAAAAATACAGGGACAGCTTTTTTTTTTTTAATAACACTGTCCCATCCTCCTTTCACCTGTGAAAAAATTCATAAAGCCCACGATAAAGCGTCCCATAAAGTTCACACCACCCCCTCCCCCCCCAAAAAAATTAATAAAACAAAAAAGCAGGTTAATCAATTTTTATTGGGATAGTATGGACCCCGTGGGACGTTCCATTATAGGTTTCCACATTCCCATTTCCCTACTTTCTCCTGAACGAGCAGCCCTCAGTGAGACGGGCCTTACCACCTGTTGGCTGGCAAAGAACGGTGGCACAGGATCCACAGATGACGACGGTCTGGGCATGCGAGAAAACAGTGGTGATATTAAAGCAGCCGGGGCACTTGACGTCCATGAAGAAGGAACGAGGAGCTGGAACAAGAGTCTATGGATGTGCGGTTAGCGGGGCCGAAATCTTGGAGACAAATGACAGTAGTTCATCACCTTGAGCTTATGCTTTCTGGCCTCAGCAGCAGGGGCAGGGTTAAGGAGATCTTCAGATAGAACCTATAAAGCATAATATTAGCAATGAGTTCCCTTTTGTTTTTCTCCCCAGAAAATTTGGCATCACGATCGCGCGCTAGCTCAAAAACATGACCTCAATGGCCTGCCTTCAACCTCGCTGTCTCAAAGTGTCCTATGGAAAATCGAGGGAAAGGGGAATTATACCATTTTGTCTGTTCGTTAATGCTTTTTTGCTTTTGCTTTTGTTTTTTTGCGTTGACGTGGTGTTTGGAGTGGTTGTCTGTTCGATGGTTGAGGGGTTCGACGTTGGTGGTTGCTTCAGTGACGCTATTTGATGGGTTGTGTGGAGATAAGTGTGGAGGAGATTGGTATCGGTAATTTGACAAGGCTGCCAAGGATTATCAGGTGTCGGGGATCTAGTGCGAGTTAGGGTTCGAAGTGACTTCGTTTTTTTTTCTCGAGGGGAGTGCATGTAGGGGGGAGTTACCCTACCTTTTGGGACTTGAAAGTTTCATGGTTCCGGTGATGCATAGTCTATCATACACCCAGACAGGCGGAGTTGAAGCCTGATGCTTTGTCTGGAAATTGTCACCTTGGGTGTCCGGCTTCAACTCAGCCGCGCGAGTACTGTACTTGAGTGGACCACGGAATATGTCTGACCAGAGTTGTTAATACCAATGTCCTTAAACCGTTTGTGGGCATCTACAAGCACCGGAAACGGCTCCTACTCGAAGGACACAGCAGACAAAACAAACTATGATCTCTCAAGTATAGTACTCGTACTCGTACGGTACCCCCCAGAAAGCCACCGAACGGTTAATTTCGGTTGACCCGCGAAATGATACCTGTTTAGTTACCGAATATAAGGAATTAACCTGTCTTGTACGAAATTTATTTAGGTCCCGTTCGGTGCGTCATTTTTATGCCATAAAAGTGACTTTTATGGCACAAATTATGGCAGCTAAAGCTTTTTCTATAGGGGTGTGTTCGGCGTGTACAAACATATCACAGTATATTTTTATTTTCACAATAATAATATTATTATAATATTATTTTTATAATAATATTATTATCATAAAGATGAGAATAGGGTATAGGTTAAGGAACTAGGAAAGAAGGCTCTTTACCATAATTTATTATTCTAAAATGACTACATTAGAAACTATTTGTATATAACAAATAATCAATTCAAGACTTGACATACAGAGTATTTCCCATAATTGGAGGAGAGTATTTATGTGTTTGTATTGTTCATCGCTTATCTACATAATATTATCATAGCATAATATCCTATTGAGATCGGCAACATCAGGCTCTTTTGTTTTAAAATACTATTTTTAACCCTACTCTTACAGCAACAATGATAGGGTAGTCTATGTGTTGTTTTGACATATCATAATATTATCATACTTATACACTTTAGGGTGTGGAGGCAACACAATACCACTAATAGCCCTAGTCATAGTAGAAAACACCAGCGGATCCTGCTTCTATTATACCGGTTGACAGACAACCCAGGAGTTAACAGCCACAGTTAATTAAGGTTGCAAATTTCGCATCCTTCCGGCTTTTTTCATGGCCTGCAAGATGAACCGGATGAAGGGGTATTTCTATATGCAATAGTAAGTATACCACCATAACATTAATCCCCCTCTCACTTACCAGTACGATACAAGAACCCCAAGACAAGGGGGTGCGATGGTCACAAGATAGACCACTGGCAAGTTGCTGTAACGTTGTAACGACTCAAGTGGATTATATAATAAGGTAGAGAGAATTCATCCCTAAATACCCTAGGCTATCTACGGAGTATGCACCAGACTCCTGCCAAAGGGTGCCAGTATTGGAACTATAATGATAGCTACGGATGAGATGATAGGAATAGAGATGAATATGATATGACTATCAACAAGCAAGTAGTCCACCAACGTTACTTGCTTGAGCTTACTCGCAGCACATACAAATTTACCGGTATCATACCGTACCTGCACCAGTCTGGACCAATCAGAAGATTCAACATTCAGTTTTGCTTTTAATGTATAGATTCCTAAGGGTTAGGGTTGTGATCGTATTATCCAACTTTGGGGAGACGTCATCCTGATCGTTCACAGGAGCACCCACTGGAAACGGGCAAACATCCATCCTTCGTTTCCTTCATTCTTTTCTCCCTTCCCCCCCTCTCTCTTACACCCTCCCTTCTCCGTTGTATAGTCCCATTCTACTCTCTTCCACTGTTTCTCCTTCAAGGGTATGAGACTCTGAGATACGCTTCTTTGACTGTCTCAGCTTTCTTTATTGATACCGGTGCCGTGATAACGTGTGTTGAAACACTGGTTCTAATTTCACCGCTGAGTGGCACCCCTTGCAACCTTGGATTTCCTGACATTCCCTTTTTTCACCCCGAATCATGACCGTCGCGATCCCTCTCATCTGGATCACTGCAATCATCGTCCTCGCATTTACGGTGATCGCTGCATCCGTCTTTGTGCATCTCCCACTTCTCGCCTGTGTATCGACGAACCTTATTAACTGTAAATAGGTTAAAATCTACCAAGATCGTCACGATCGCGACGCTTTCGTGACCGTGGTCTGCGTTCTATCCCTCACCTCTCTCCTTGCGACCGTTTGCCTTCTGCCTGTCGATATTGCTCTCGTCTCCGGTACCACAAACAATGCCACGGGCCTCAAGAAGGACTGGGCGGGTCCGGAAACTGTCGCGCATATTATTCTGGGCTTGAAGATTGTCTACTACCTACTCTATTCACTTGATGTGATTATGTGTCTTCTTGTCATCCCCTTTGCCTATTTCTGGTAGACTATTGTTTGGATGTTCTTACCCGGTCCATGTTGCTGACTTCCGTACAGGTACGAGGAATGGGATGTCGATGCTACCACGAGCGGAAGGATCAAGGGGGCTATGAAATATAGCTTCTGCTTCCTCATGTTAGTAATAATTTTACTTGTGGTAGGATTCTTTCTTCCTGTCGCACGGGAGACAAAGGGGCATTTGGACCTCGATTACTTCAAGAAGTTGCTCCTGGAAAATCGTTCGTACCCCCCCATAACTACCCTACATTTGGTGACCACCCCCTAATGAGGACATATGCACAGACGGAGAACGCGCGTTGACATTCATCACTGGAACCTTGCTATGCCTCGGAATTGTTCCCTACGTTTTCTACACAGCTCCTGGACTTGCCCTTACGCCCCAACTTCTCATTAGATCTATACGCGGTGCATCCCTTCCATCAATCTCAGCTTCGGCGCACCAAGATTTGCTCTTGAATCGCGAGAGGCAGAGGATTATCGAGGCAAGATACGCCGGCGGACCTAGCTCTAGGTTTACCGCCAAAGATAGACGCGAGTTAGAAGGCCTACAGCGTGAAGAGAGAAGTCTTGTGCGCAGACAGAGAGTTGCCGAAGAAGGTACCCATGGTACACGGAAATGGCTTGGGAAGCTACAGGCTATTGGGAGGCCTTTCGAGATCCTCCTTGGGATCTTGGTCCTTCTGTTGTCGATCTCGATATTCATCTCAATGTTGATGACCTCGATTGACAAATCCAAGAACTCTGTGTGTGGGAAAAGCTGCGGATACATACTTGCCAAGATGAACATCCCGAACCCTATCAATTGGCTGTTTGTTGCTACTAGCAAAGTATTTCCCATCGACTATATCCTAGCTTTGATTCTTGTCTTGGACCTATTTATTGCCAGCGTTGTAGGAACGGCATTCGTTGGAATCAGGTTCTTGTGGGTATCAATATTTCGGATCAGGCCTGGCCATACGAAGCCACAAGGTCTGTTGATGGCAACAGTCATTTTAACCCTCACAGTTTTGGCTGCCAATTACTCGATTACCATGATCATTGCCCCACAGTACGCCCACTACGGTGGACAAAAGTTCTGCAATAAGACTGTGGGTTTTTCTCTTTCAGCTCCGTGTTGAGACAACAAAAAGCTAACACACCAGGCCCAGATACTGGAAACTGGCGTCTACCGTGACTGCAGCAATAACAAGGAGTTCATTATTCCATGCTCCGAGACTGGGCCTCAAGACATCTGCACACCAACTTTCGTCTCAACATTCCTTAACCGTGTCACGCTCAACTTTCCCTACTTTGGCGCATTCGCCTTCTGGTCGCAATTCGCTTTCCTAGGTGTTTACCTCATCACCCTCCTTACAGGTCTTGTCAGGCCCCCGAAATCTGGAAACAGGGAGGCCGAAGATGAAGATGCTGAGAATGACGAAGATGAGAGCCTTCTCACTGGTGCCGGCCGCAGAGTTAATGCTGCTTGGGAGGATATTAGAGGACAGACTGGCGAGCGCAGGAATTATGGCACCGATGCCAGAGTTAGAGGTGGAGATGACGCATAATATACTTTCGTTTTGGGGACTAGAATGGGGTTTGCGAATTTTGGAGTCATATGGTTGGATAGGGTTTGTTTTTATTTATTTTTCCGTCATAGTCTAGGGTTTCTTTTTTTCTTCTGTTCTAGCTTTATGGTATCCTATACCACCGTCGTGCAAATTCGTTGGAGGGTGGATTGGGTGCGTGAATGGAAATAGTTGAGTTATTAAATACGGTACTGGAATTGCGCGTGCGATCTTGTGTTTTGATTTGTTCACTTTATATCACGGCTAAAATATGGTATGATAGTATACCAGCATAATGTTATGAAGGTTTCGATTTCGACCTCCTTAAATAAAACACGTTTTGACTGTTATACAATCCCCTCACTGCCACTACAGATTTTAATATGATGCCATGATACCGTCAACATGAAATTAGCAGATGAGAGGGAAAGAGGAGCACTTGAAGACAACACAAGAATATAAAATAAAATAAGTAGAACCCCATTTCAAACTACAGTGCCCCACATCACCACCATCACCCTTCGCCCACTTTAAGAGAAACCACACATTCAGTCCTCTCCCTCATCCTCAGCCAGCAGCCCCTGCAAAACCCCCAAACCGGTCGTAACCTTCACCACCAACCCCCCCTCCACACTTCCTCCTCCCCCGTTCCCATTCCCATTCGCATCCGCCTCCTCTTCCCTCCTCAACATCTCCTCCTCCTCCTTGTTCGTGGCGGCCACCAAACTCTTCAAGTAATTCTTATGGGAAAGCAAGTACTCGACTTCCTCCACCAATGCCGCTTTGTCAAAGCCGTCAAGGCAAGCCCCACCGCCCGCCCCCATAATCCGGCCGAGCACAGCGAGCACCATAGCAATGCTAACTGCCTCGTTAACAGCCGCGAGCGTGACAACGGTGCGGGCCTTCCATGCGGTGATCGTGGCGCGCAACTGCGGAGCGAAGAAGGAGAGGAATGCGTGCACTTCCCGCGCGATCCGCGGCCCGATGTGCACAAGCAGGTTCAGGGAGAGTGGGAGTAGCGCGCGCGTCCAGATGGCGTAGAGTCGCGGTGAACCGGCCGGGTTCACGCTCTGACGGGCGATGTGCGCGGTGAGGGAGGAGGTTAAGATTTGGTCTAGGATTCCCTCAGTCGCGAGTTGGTTCGCTAACGCGGGTATTGTGGAGAGTTCCAAGAGGAAGAGGAGGCTGAGTTCGCCGTATATTGGGTCGTTGGCGTTCGCGTTCGCCGCGCGCGTCGTTGTCGTCGTCCTGCTTTCCATGGCAAGACGCTCGGACCAGGAGTAGAGGGTTGTCGCTGCGCGGATTGTCCCGTTCTCTGCCATGTGCGTTGCGAGGCTGTCATGGATTATCGAGATTCCGGGCAGTTTTAGGGAGGCTTGCAGGATTGCTGTCACCAGTGCTATGTCCTCCGGGTTCGCGGCTTCCGAGTGAGTGTGCGTTGCGCTAGCTAGCTCTTTGAAGCCCTTTGCTACGACCAAATTTAGAATGTCCAGGACCATGTATGCGCTTTCCGTGGTCTGGTTCGGCTTGCTGGCGTTCGCATGCAGGACAAGATAGATTATCCTTATTAAGGACCTGTAGTACCCCACGTCTGCAGTGGCCAGTGCCTGTCGGAATTCGGTGGCAGAAGTGTATATAGCTTTCCAGGCTAGTTCCAAAATCCTGTCAAATTGCCCGTTGGCACCTTGCATGGCCTGCTGTAAGCGGCGGAGAATTACGAATGCGAATTCCGCACGCTCGCAGACTATCGTCTTGAAGATTGGCGGGGGCAGGCCGGTTTCTATGTTTGCTTGCAGGCACCTCTCTACCACATCAACTAACGGCTGCTCGAGTTCTCTGTTGGCCGAGACAAAGTCGCAAAGCTCCATTGAGAGGAGTTTCCACGCGCGGAGGAGGACCTGAGCCTCGTTAGTACTTAGGACTTGGGAGAGCATGTCCTGCTTTATTATTCTTCCACTAGTGGCGGCTCTTACCACTTGGGAATCAACGAGTGAGAGGTTTAGATTCGCCTGCTCTACTTCGTTGGCGTATCCGTCTGCTCTGCTGTCCCAGCAGGGATCAAAAGATAGGACTTTTCCGGCCAGGCTCATGTCGTAGAAGTAGTCGATACCGTAGCTTTTTCGCTGAAGAGTGGTCTTTCTCAGTTTTAGTAGTGTTAGGCCGGGCCATTTCTCTTCGAAATTCTTGCGCAGATTTACGTGTAGCGAAGCTCTATATCCGCTGATGGTAGCCGCCTGGTCAAAGTAGTACTTTAACTTAGGAATAAGTTGCCTAAAGAACGTCCCATCACGTGAAGATGGTCTCCGGGAGTGTAAGTGGATAGCCAAAAGTTGTGCAATGTGAGCTGCCACCGCTACCCTAATCGCCTTTTCTGTCAATATTTCCTTAGAGTCGGCGGGTAGGAACTCAATTGTCTGCGCCTCCACAAATCTAGTAATCGCAGGAAGGAACTTGGAGTGTTTTCCCAAATCATCCATAGCAAGGCTCAAGAAATTCTGGGCCAGAGCCACGGCTTCTAGCATTGCCAATGACTTTGTGGAAGATATCTTGTCGATCTCTGACAGTGAGTCCAGCGCTACCGAGATTAACGACCTTTTTGACCCCTTATCACGCCCATTCAGACCACCTTGCCATAACGTCTCACCACGGAGGAGCAATATCGACAAGCCCTGTTGTTTAGTGCTCAAAACAGCAGACACAAAGCCCCATATACGTGCTTCCAGATGCTCATCGTCAAAAGGCTTGTCCAGAGTCCCGAGGACAGCCGTAAAATGGCTGGCACAATCGGCACCGAGATGTCCTAGCAATGAGGGTGGTTCGGATTGAGTTGTTCCGGACGCCGCAACAAGACTTTCAAAGATCCCCAAAACAGGCGCCCGGTATCTGTCATGGATCACATATAATTTAGCCAAAGGCGCAGTGAGATTGTACAATTGTTTCTCTAGCTGCGAAGGCGGTAACCTAGATCAGAAATTAGCCAATTGAATGGCCCAACACCGGGATTGGGAGAGTGCGTACCCCAAATACCCACGCGTTCGAACGCAAACCTCAGCAAATTTTATCACCGAAACTACATGCTCTACCCAAGAATTCAAAGATCTCAGATGAAAACTTGATTCCGGTGTCTCAAGACCAACACGTATTGTGCGGATGATGGGTTCCATAGGGAGCTCAGTATCACCTTCCGACAAAAATACCATAATAATGTGCTCAGCGCTAGGAGCCAAAACGCTGGTGATCTTCGAGCTCAAATCCGAGGATTCATCAACCCCATAGACCATCGAGAGGATTCTAGTGAATATTCTCGAGATGCGTTGTCCTAGTAGACGCCAAATTAACTACGGTTTATATAGTTGAGGAAATTAGAAAACCTACCAATCTCTAGCTTCTGCTCCTCATTAATATACTTCCAAGCATAATAGCTCTCAAACACATCTACAACAACTCTGGTCCAAGCCGACAGAATATCTCTCTGTACCGCAGTGCTCACACCAGAACGAGTAATTGGTGGAGCGGCCATAGAGGCCACAGTCAAACTCCTACTACCACCCATGTTGACTACACTACTCTTGATAGCTTCCTCGACAAGGTCCTCAAACAGCCTAAGGCAATTAATCGTAAACTCGTAATCGCCTCTCACAACCTCCACAGCAGACAAAATCCCATAAAAAGCCCCACCACGACCATGCCGCTCCTGTATGGTACTCCGAGCAAGGTATGGCCACACCCGGCCAGGAAGAGCTGGAACCAAAGCATCCACGAATTGTATCGCAGCGACAATGAAATCAGTCGATTTGCCGGCGCTTGAAGAGTTTGCCACTACTTGTAGTCCTGCCTCGAGGAGATCGAAAATGATGGAAACTACATCCCTGCTTCGGCCGACGAGATCGCTCGCCTCCTCGAGTATTCGGGCAGGGGATAACTCTCCCGGGGTGCTCCCGTTGCCACAAGCGATGAGAATAGTGAGAAGCCCTATGATTTCCGTAACCGCTTCGCCACTGCCTAGCTCTCCTACCGCTGCATAGCTAGGTCCAGAGTTCGAGCCATCGCCAATCAATGCTTGCTCAAGTACTCTCCCAAGTACTGGGAAAGCGTTGTATTCATGTTGCCAGGCAACAACAGGACGACTACCTCCCGTTGAGATCATCTCTCCTATTGTGCCAGCAGGTATCACAATACCTCCCCTAGAACTGTATTCCTCCTCAAAGAAGCCAGCCCTCCGCGGCGCAAAAACAACCAAATCATTGGTCAATTGAATCCGAGTGACATCCGAGTCTTCATCGTCAACATCGTAGTCGCTAAATCCTTGTGGGAGAATCTGAGTATAGGTATCCATGTTCATCAGATAATTTGTGACACCCACGTTCACAGTTGCCAAAGCCTTCATGACCTTCAAGAAAATAATCGGTTCATATGGAAATCGGTTTTTAGCTCGTCGTAGGAACTTTCGCGATTCCTCATTCTTTGTAAATCTCACGGCAGGGCTACCAGTCCATCCTGTAATCGTGTCACTAGTGTCGGAATCCTCCCTGAGGAAAGCTTGGTGGCCCTCCAAATCTTTGTATTGGACCTCGTTGGCCAAGAGAACAGCTCCCAGCACCGTCGCAGAAAGTGGGAGAGCATGGAGAGCCCTTCTGAGAAGATCTGCGATCACATTCTTCATCCTGCGGCCATCTTCCTCCGCCTCCACCCAGAACCTCGGCCCAACGGGTTGTCCCCCGGTAGGCTCGATCATGAGAATAATCGTTTCCAGAGCATTATCGGCCGTTGCCTTCCCAAGAGCCTTTGTTCCCCGCTCAGTGGCCCCGTCAAACAGCTCAGCAAGAGCATTCTCGAAAAACTCAACCCTCGGATTCCTACTCTCCTGGCCGGCTCGGTCCATCTCGTCCATTTCTTGCCGTCGCTCATTGACAAACGAGAGGAGGTCGTAGAGTATTAGGCACCAACAGAAACCGGGAACGCTGGCCGTAGAATTATGTGCAGTCTCAACGAAACACTGAGTGATGGCCTTAATTCCAACTGGATTCTTGATGTAAAAGCTACCATCTGGAACCTGGTCCAATCCACGGGGAGGTCCAGGATTTGCAGGCGGTGTAGCAGAGGACTCGCTTGAGACTGGGGTCGCCCATTCCTCCTGAATGAACTTCTCAACTCTGGGGTATTGTAATGCAACAAGGGAAACAATGGATGAAAGTGCTGCTGCATATTTATAGGCACCAGCAATATCCGGATGATCGGGGAAAGGACGCTAAGCAGTTGATCAGGAAATCTGAGAAGCACAAAAAGAGAGAATTAACTTACGAAGTTTCGTTCTGTAAGAAATTGGGTATCTTTCATAAGAGTAAACCATGCTACAACAAATGCAGAAGTGCTCTCCTCCAGGGCCTTATAAAAGAGGAGAAACATATACTGTAACAGATGAATTATCTCCCGTATTGTCTATGATAATCGCGCGATCAGTTCCCGGACAGCGCAAAACCCAACACGAAACCGCCACCTACGGACGGGGGCGGAGAAATTCGGGAATCAGGGGGACCTCAGATGCGCACCTGTAACTCCCACTTAAAGGCCGGATCGTCCCCTTCCGAGGCTATCCGCTGCTTAACCCACTCCGGCAGGCCTTCACCATTCTTCCCATTCCGCCACCTAGCCGCAATGCTACCAACGACCTCCGTCGAGTATCCATCCTTCATATTAATCCCCTCAGTAGCGAACACCTTGGCAGGATGATACCAAACATTCCTGCTCTTCTCCGCGCACATCGCCAGTCGAACCATCAACGCCGCAACCTTAACGATGTACCGCCTCTCCTGCAAGTAAATCTCCACCCTTCGCCAGAAAACCTTCCTCTGCTCCTCCTCGTCCGAGGCCATGGCACTAGCACGTAATTGGCTCTCGGCATTCCCATTGTCGAACATATTCCCCACAGAATTGCCCTTCTGACAGGCGTTCAGCAGTGCGACAGCCGGACGCTCCTGGTACTCCAGTACGACGATCCGCAGAGCCCCAACTTCGTCGATATGCAAGCTCTTCGAGAACTCTAGCGCTGCCTCTTTTAATTCTGCAATGGGTGGTAGGACATGGCCAGCTCCCACGCTGGCACAGGGGGATGCTGCCGGTTGGTCCGCCGCCGTAAAGTTTATGGGTGCGGTGCGCTTCTCAAATTCAGTCTTTGAATCAGCGGAGGGGGGTGGAAAGGGGTCATAGCATCTCGAAAGTTGACTTATGGACGTTTCTGAGGCGAGGTGATTCGATAATGCAGTTACGGAGGATTGGCAAGGTTCTACTGGGGATGTTAGACGGACGAATGTAGATTTCCAGGAACTGAAGGTTTGCATTAGCTTGAAAGGTTCTTGAACAATGCGAATAGAGGGAGGTACGGTAGGCGGGCTTTGTTTCGTATAGCATCATTTAAAAGGTCACGATCGGTTGAGATCGGGGCCATAGCGATGGATTATTGTGAAGTGTTGTGGGTGTCAGAAAGCAGAATGGGGGAAGCATTCCGTTCGAAGTTGTCTTCTCCAAATCGACTTTGTCAGGGCGAACGCGTTTGTCGTGTGGACGGGTGGCTCGGCGCCAAGCATAACCCTGGACCTCTACAAAAATGTTCATCATCAATAATCACTCGCAGCCACGGCACTTTCAACCTCCCCGAAACACCACTCGAGTATAATATTATAACAACGTAAAAGCTTCTCCACTTAACGATATCACGCGTACATCTATGTTCAAAATCCCAGTTTATTGAATGAATATAGTCCCGCCCCCCGTGTTCGCCCAAATTCCCAAGACCTAGCCCGACCATCATAATCATCACCCCGGGACTCAAGTCCCGTTTCCGAACCCACAAACTTAATGGTGGAACAATCGGGTCTCCTGGTGTACAAACACCATGCCGCATTTATCGGCAGCTTCGTGAACAGCTTGGTCCATTACAGAGCCACCTGGGGCAGCAAGGTACTTGACTCCCGACCTATGGGCTCTAAAGACGTTGTCGGTAAAGGGAAACTGCGCGGGGAAAAACATTAGACCTGTACCTTTTTTGATAAAAACGTAACCGGAAAACTTACGAAAGCGTCACTAGACACAGAGACATTGGTGCACTGTTTGATCCATTCTTCCCTCTCCTCCGGTGTAAAATCAGTAGGGACCTCCTCAAAGACACTCTCATACTGCTCCCGCTCCGGGTCGCCCTCGACCTTCTTGGGAACCAGGCCGGAAACGAATAGATCGATGGCATTGCTCTTGTCGGGTCTCTTGGTACCCTTTTTCCACTTGAAGTCAAGGACACGGGGGTGTTGCCTGAACCACCAATTGTCCGCCTTGTCACCGGCAAGTCTAGTGCAGTGAATTCGGGACTGCTGGCCAGCACCGAGACCAACAATCTGGCCATTCTTAGCATAGCACACAGAATTAGACTGTGTATACTTAAGTGCAATTGTGGCAACGGTCAGGTCAATCAAAGCCTGGGGCGGGAGTTTGTAGTCTGAGCTAGGAGTGATGATGCGGGAAAAGGTCTTGTCGGTGATTTTGACATCATTTCTATGCTGGCAAAGAGATATGCCATAGACTTGGCGGGTTTCAAGGCTTGGGGGCTGATCAAGGGGTCAGTATTTGAGGGGTGTAGCAATAGCATACAATAGCTTACCTCATGGTTGGGATCAATCTGAAGAACAGTGTACTTTCCACCCTTCTTCTTCTTCAAAATCTCCAACGCCCCAGGGGTATAAGCAGGCGCAATGACACCATCAGAGACCTCTCTACCAATGATTCTGGCAGTAACGGCGTCGACCTCGTCACTAAGAGCAATCCAGTCCCCGAAACTGCTCATTCTGTCGGCACCACGGGCCCTAGCATATGCACAAGCAAGAGGGCTATCATCAAGTCCCTCGATATCATCGACGAAACAAACCCTCTTCTCGACCTCGGAGAGAGGCATGCCAACGGCGGCACCAGCAGGGGAGACGTGCTTGAAAGAAGCAGCGGCCGGAAGATCAAGAGACTCCTTTAGCTCCTTGACAAGTGGCCAGGAGTTCAAAGCGTCGAGAAGGTTGATATATCCAGGAGATCCGGAAAGAACTTTGAAGGGTATTTTACCAGACTCAACGAAAGCCTGAGCAGGCTTCTGGTGCGGGTTGGCTCCGTATCTGAGGGTAAGGTGCTGGACGCCGTCCCCGGCATATCTCTTACGGAAGAACTCGGCAATTGTGGCGTCATAATCGGCAGTATGCTCAAAGGCTTTCAAGGCATACAGTTTTCTAGAAGCCTCCGAAACCTCGCCACTCCGCAGCTCCTCCAAGAAGGAAGGGTAGTCGGCTGGGTCCGAAAGGATTGTGACACGGGAGTGGTTCTTGGCCGCGGCACGCAAGAGCGTTACACCACCAATATCGATCTCCTCAATGGCCTCCGCAATTGTAACGTTAACCTTGGCAATTGTGTCTTTGAAGGGGTACAAATTGCAGACGACGTAGTCGACCTTATCGATGTTTTGCTCCGCAAGGTCCTTCTCGTCGGACTCGAGGTCCCGCGCAAGAATACCTGAAATGGGAGGTCAGTTCTATTCAAGATTCGGTCAGTGTGGACGAGCATACCTGCATGGACAGCGGGGTGAAGAGTCTTAACCCTTCCGGCAAGCATTTCCGGGGCATGGGTAATGCTGCTCACATCCCTATAACGAGGGGGGAAAGTGTGGGATTAACACCTGCACCGACTGATTCTCCTAAGGAAATGTAGAAAGGAATTTCGATGCACATACTCAACCCCAATTCCGGCCTCCCTAATCAACTTGGCTGTGCCCCCGGATGCCAAAAGTCTAATCCCTTGCAGGGCCAGGCCGTTGGCGAGATCCAATAGTCCGGTCTTGTTATAGACGGAAAGGATTGCTTTTCAGGGACAGCCGTCAAAAGGGTCAGCAGCCTTATCATGCATACGTGCTTATGGAAACAAATGGCGGGGTGTTAGCTGGAGGATGCAAACCTGTCTTTTGCGAAGAAGACATGATGCACTTTCAATGATCTTCTCTCGTGCGGTGAACCGAAGAGGTGCGAAGGGAATCGGAGAGTGATTTTATCAGGCACGAGCACCGGAAGTTCAAGGGTGCTTGTGGGCCTGGGGGTTTTTGTTTTGTTTCAAACGTGGGGCTGGCATGAAGGGGCAGAGGAGCAGAAAAGTAACTCGAGGCGAGGTTACAAACACCGAATTAATGTACGGGTATTGGACCGGGTCGGAGGCAGAAGCGAATGGCTCTGCACTCGAGTATGATACAATGAGAACTTTGCTCAAATGCCAACGGCAGAATTTTCGACAAAATCAAAACCCCGAATTCAGGCCAGAAAGTGCAAATTTGAAGGGTTGTGCGATCAGGAATATCTCCTATTGTACCGGCACCGGTACCGTACTGTACCATTCCTATCATGCTTGTTGAGTGTCGCGGCGGGGGTTCAATGGAATGACTTGGGGTAAATACCAGTGGGCATTATCTTGCTGAGTCATTAACGTATTACTGAATTTGGCACCAGAGCTAACTACTTTTGCCCGTGCAGATGATTCGCGATACCGATAGACTATCGGTGCTCGAGTACGAGTAGGCTACGGTATGGGAGCAATACCGGCAGTAACCATATTTTCTCCAAATCCAGATACGGCAAGAAGATAATCTCAACGCCACTCCTATGACAGATATGATATCATACGAGTACTCGAGTGGAAGAGGAGGAATACTGTACGAGTACTGTACAAGTAAGCTATCATATCATACTCGAGTATCATACTCGTACAGCAACCAACTCCCAGCCTAACCATGACCTCAACCCTCACCCTTCCATTGCCACGACAGGGTACAGTACGAGCCGATTTTTAAAGTATCCGGAATTCTGGTAGTATAAGGTATCAGCCCGTGGTGTAAGTGGTTCCTTGGCAGACATGTGTCACTTAGGCGGTTGCCATATACGAATCTTCATCGCGTGTAATATTCCTCTCCTCCTACCTACCGCAACCATGATCTCTGCAGGGCATTCAAGGGATAAGTGAGCAATATCTACTATTTTTAATTAATATGCTAACATTCGAGTTCTTACAGGAAAGGAAATAACACTGCGCAGACGTGCAGCGATTATTACCATGCGCGAGCTCGGCTATAAATTTAATGAAATAAAAACGCGTACCGGTGTTGCTATTTCCACAGCAAGCGATATCCACTGTCACGCAGTAAAGAATGCTACTGCAAAATGACAGGCCATGCTCTCCGGTACTCAGCCAGCAATACCACCTCGTGCTCAGCTAACGGTACCCAGACCAAGGGCTGAGAGTCCGTACTCCCGCCCAGAGTCAAGTCTGCATGAATGGACCCCTGAGTCTGGGGTTTGTGAGAAGAGAGGGCAAGTGGTAGTGGTAGTAGAGAATGAGAAGGCAGCAGAGGAGGCAGCAGAGGAGGCAGCAGAGGAGGTAGCAGAGGAGGCAGTGGAGGAAGAAGTAGAGGAGGCAGTGGAGGAGGTGGCAGTGGAGGAGGTGGTAGCCAAGGAGGTGGTAGCGGAGGTGGTAGTGGAGGAGGCAGCAGCGGAGGAGGTGGTAGCAGAAGAAGTGGTAGCAGAGGAGGAAGATGAGGAGGAGGAAGAGGAAGCTGGGATAGAGCAGCTGGGAAGGCAGAATATGCCAGCGGGTGCTCAGATATATAATAAGAATAATATTTCACTGCTTGAACTGTTATCAAAAGACTGTTTGGATAAGAAATCACGCTCCGGACGACCAAAAGTTTTAACAACTATGGAAATCGATCACCTTATTTCTACGGTAAAGTGGGATTTTCATACTCGACAGATGTGCCTTGTCTATATTCGGAGAGAAGCTGGGTTATTACATGTCAGTAATACTACGGTATGGAAAGCTCAATGGTCCCGCGGTATTAAAGCCTATAAGGAGCTGTTTAAGTTTATTTTGAAGACTGAAAACAAAGTTGTAAGACTCAGATACTGCTTAGAGAGAAAGGACTAGAGCATGGAAGAATGGAAAGATTATGGATTCACTGACGAGATGTCAATTGAGGTTGGCGGTCTTTTTGGAATAAATCTTGTTTGGCGTGATGAATCAGAAAAGAGGCATGATGACTGTGTCAGTTGTGTCAAGAAGCAGGGAGAAAGTGTGACGTGTTGGGGAATGATAGGATGAGGATGGAAGGGTCCTTTTTATGTCTGGGAGGTAGAGACTGCGGAGGAAAAAGAGGAGGCTCTTTTAGCTATTACCTTATTGGAGGAAGGACGAGCTATGGAAGAAAAAAAATTGAATGAGGAATGGAAAGTATTAGAAGAGTGGGAACAGCTTCGGGCCTTGGAGCTGACAGCTTTCAGCACTCAACACTATGCTGAAAAATATCACAATGCACCAAAGCAGCGAGTTCTACAAACCCATCGGGGCAAAAAATTCAAACTCGATAAATACAGGCGCGGAGAAGGAAAGGGAGTTGATTCTTGGTGTTATATGAAGTGTGTGGCATGCCCACTCCTCTGACCAGCATGCCGAGAGCAGATACAACAGAATGCAAACTTTGTACTCATGGAGGATAATGCACCAGCACATGACTCTATTTTTACTAATGGACAACGGGTAAAGGAAGGGATTCAGAAGCTTGATTGGCCACATAATTCTCCCGATTTCAACCCTATTGAGCATATCTGGACTTTAATGAAAAGTCGAATTCAAACCCACCGGGCCCATGAACGTATCACCTCTCAACAACAAATGAAACAAGTTCTTCAGGAGGAATGGGATAGGGTATCAATTGATGAAATCAATAAGGAAGTAGCTAAAATACCTAGTATTATGAGTAAATGTATTAATGTATATGGAGGAAATAAATATCATGCTTAACTCGGTGCGGGCTGATAGGATGCTAAGTGGAACGATCTTAGTGGCAATTATCATTAATTAATATAAAGAATATACTGTACTAGGCTGAGATATATTTGGAAGTACCAATTTATTTACTTAATACAATTATCTTTATGGTCAGTAGAGGCTTTGATGGCCTCATATTCTTCTCGTACGAATGGTCTAGGTGACTCATGTATAAGTTGTATTTTGGTTTGACTTGGCGAGTCACCTACATTCCGGAGACTTTAAAAATCGGCTAGTACGGTACCGCGAGCCAAGTCCAAACATCCGGGTAACTCCCCACAACGAGTCCCATAAAACCAACAGAAAATCCAAATCCCAAAAATTCTCCCTTTCCTCTCCATGAACAACGCAAATTTCCACATCCCCCATTCCGGAGGTCAAAAATGTTCAAATAAATTTTTACCTGCGAGACGGCCGACAAGAAGTTGCGCTTTCCAGGACCCGGGAGTTTATTTTTCTCCGAGAGCTCGATGGGGATGGAGAGGGAAAGCGGCCGATCTTGGGTGCGGTTGGTCTCCGCTGTTTTAAGGATGAGACCGATCGCAATGATTAGCTGGACATTTATATTATAATTGTTGTTTTTCTTTTCTTTTAATTTTACTTTTTTGTATGATAGGTTTAATCGAATGGTGTTGGTGATTGATGCTGTGAGGCTCGCTCGCTGCTCTTTGCTCTGTTGCAGTGGAGTCCGAGTCCGAGTCCGAGTACCACCGTGTGTTTAATAATTAATTAGTCTAAGGGGGGGGCTTTCCCCAAGCATCATCCTCAAATTCAGGCACGCTACAGTACTGTATATCATCTCGAGAAAATCTTCAAATTTTTTCACTTGCTGTACTGGTATTCAATCCTCTTCTCAGATCCCCATTCCGCCAACCTCAATTTTCTCCCTCGAAATGGGGAGACAACCTCCATATCACAATATCAGCACGGTGGGGCAGTCTTGGCAGTCGTCCTCAATCCCACCGTCAATCCCCCCGTACGGTTGCACCTGGCACCGTTGAACCTCGAACCCTCACCCCCTACCGCAGCACCCATTCCTGCTCCTGCTGTCATCATATCATACATACCACTACGAGTATCAATCCTCACCACCACCACCAACCATATTCACCCCATCCCTCCCTCCTTCCTTCCCATTGACCACCAATTTCCAGAAGACCCACCGGCCGAAATGAGATTAACAACCGAGCTCCTACAGGCCGCGCATAGCTACCTCAACCCGCTCAACGACCGCGAATTAGATCTCCGAGGTGCGTTACAACCCGTTCAGCCACTACACTTTTTATGAGGGAGAAACACCCCATACAAGAAAGAATTCAGTGATTAAAACTCTTCCCCCCCTACCAAAAAAAAGGCCACAAGATCCCCGCCATCGAGAATTTAGGTGTTGCTGGTGCACGTCCCTCCCTCCCTCCCTCCCTCCCTTCTCACCCCGCGCACCATCTAACGATACCATGAAAATAGCCACAAGACGCCATAGACTTGACGGACAACGACATCCAAGCCCTCGGAAACTTCCCCCTAAGCGAACGCCTGAAAACCCTCTTACTCGCGCGCAACCGGATATCCACCATCCAGCCCACCCTCGCCGCCAGCCTGCCAAACCTAACCGTCCTCGCGCTTGCTGCCAACAATCTCTCTGAACTCGCCGACCTCGACCCGCTCTCTCGGTTCACGCGCCTAACGCACCTTTCCCTCCTCGACAACCCCGTCACTCGCAAGGAGAATTACAGGTATTGGGTTATCTGGCGCTGTCCCAGTGTGCGCTTCTTAGATTACAGGAAGGTGAAGGATGTCGAGAGGGAGGCTGCTGGTAGGTTGTTTGGGAGTGTGAGCGAGCCATCAGCTTTGGCTGCTAGGGTTTGTTCGCCCTTTTCTTGGTAGTTATGGGGGGGGGGGTAATGTTGGCTGACTGGTTCGTAATGGTAGATTATGGGAATCAAGTCAAGGACTTTCGACATTAGCGAGCCGTTGAATGGTGGGCAGAAGGAATACACTGTTAGGTTGAGTGCTGCTGAGAGGAAAAGCATTGAGGCGAGGATCAGAGCTGCAAAGAGCCTAGAGGAGGTTGCTAGGTTGGAGAGGGAGCTTCGGGAAGGTCTTCAATCTTCGGGAGATGCTATGGAGGAGTAGTGGATAATCAACTTACCTTTACCACTCATGTATTTCTTGTCTAGCTTCGAAGGCCTGAAAAAAAAAAACTCCCCGTTTCCTTCCTCCTCTACCTACCATATAAATTACCATTGCTGTTTAGAACGTCGGATTAGTGAAAAATTTTTCATATTTTTCTCTCTCTCTAACATCCTCTTTGAAAATCAAAATCAAAATCAATTATCTCTAGAGATTGACATGTCAACAATCACAACATCGCTTGGTACTCTGCCCCCTTCCCCGCCATCTTCGTTTTCCACCAACTTTCAAACAATACGCAATTCTATTCCAGCCAAGCAAATTCCCTAGCGCCGAAAATAGCGCCTACAAAAAAAATCGAATCAAGAAAATAGTTGGATCGAAAGGAGGGGAGAAGAGAGAAAAAAATGAAACTACAGGTTCAGTTGTTGGAGCGCCTTTGCAGCCGCATCAACTGCTTCGCCGACTTTGTCGACTTTGTTGCCAATGCCTTGACTAGTGGCACCTTTCCCACCAGCTTTTCCACCAACAATTTGACTAATCGAATCAGCCAAGTCTTTGGCGCTGAGCTGTTTTCCAACATTCTAAGAAGATATTTGGTTAGCTCAAGGCCTCGCGCATATACCAAGACACACAGTAGACATACCTCTGCGACATAACAGCCATGAATGACCTTGCCCTCAGCATCGTCATCGGTAGCAAAGAGGTAGACTGTCTTATCCTTGGCCTTCGTCTGAACGTGCTTGATAGCGTCACTGAGAGCTTTGGAGTTCGCAGATATTGGGAGTTTGGAAACAAAATACGGCGAGTCTGGGTTCTGTTTGAAGTGCTCGGTTACTATCTCGACAGCCTTCTTAAGCTCTGCCTTCTGTTTAGCCTTCTGGTCGTCGAGCAGTTGTTTATGAATTTTGCCAAACTTGTCTTTTAGCTGAACCTTCTTGACAGCGGAAATAACGAGACTATTGAGGTCGGCTTGGACTGATTTGATTTCAGCTTCCTTGCGCGGGCCTGCAGGAAGCTTGCCTAAAGCATTGATCCGCTCCTCAAATTGTGAAGCTATTTTTTGGACTTTACCAGCATCATTGCCGGTAACTGCGACAATACGCCGAATCCCCTTCGCAATTCCATTTTCCTCGAGGATAATCAGATCCTTAATGTCATCGGTTTTCTGAACGTGAGTACCACCGCAGAACTCGATGCTAACTTTCCTCCACTGCTTATTCTTGACGTCTCTTGTCAACTCCTCGATAGGGACGCCGACGGAGACAACACGGACCGGATCCGGATATGTTTCGCCAAATACCGCACGAACACCTTCAATTTCCCTTGCAATTGACAACGGCACGTCTTCGGAATAAACTTCCAGATTTTGCCGAATATATTCAGTAGAGATCTTCTCAATCATCTCCAGCTCTGCGTCAGTCACCCCGCATTTGTGGGAAAAATCAAAGCGAAGTTTCTCCGCTGCAACCAGGGACCCCTTTTGCTCAATCCCGTCTCCAAGAACCTCTCTAAGAGCATAATTAAGCACATGAGTTCCTGTATGATTGTTGCGTATAGGCCATCTGCGAAGCTAAATACAAGATTACCAACTGAAGAGTTGTTGTACTGGACGCTTCTGAAACTTACCTCGTCATATTCACATATAACGTCATCTCCGACAGAGAGGGTGCCATATTTTATGTATCCTGTGTGTAGAACATATCCGCCATATACCTGCACATTTTGAACATCCAATTCGGCCTCGCCGTCTATGAGTATCTTTCCGGTGTCGTATTCCTGACCCCCTTGTTCGGCATAGAAATTTGTCTTGTCAAGAATAAGGCCAAGCTGAGTATAACGGGAGATGTTCGCGGTGCTAGAGCGAAAAGACTTGTCACAATAGATGGCCATTATATGACCGGTAATATTTCCCCTTCCTAGATCGCTTTTAGCCTATAGCACTGGAACAGTGACCATTGTATCGGCCCAGTGAATCTCACCAAATTTGTAGACATCATCAGTCTTGGGCACCTCTGCCATTTGTTCTAGCCTTCCAAGATCATGAACGCCGAGCTTCAGCAATTCAACATCTCCGGAACTCTTCCTAGCCTTACTGGCTTCCTTGCTCTCAGCCTTCGCTCTCTCAAATTCTTCCTCATTGATCTCAAGACCATTTTCCTCAGCCATGATTCGGGTGAGGTCGACTGGGAACCCGAAGGTATCATAGAGACGCCAGACATCACTGCCCTTGAGAACCTTTGAATTATGTTCCGTCGCTCTTTTCGAGAAAACGTCAAACATCCTCTCTCCCCTATCAAGGGTCCGAGAAAACGACTCTTCCTCCTCGTTTAAAATCTCCTTGACATCACTCTCTTTCTTTTTTATTTCTGGGAAGACATCACCCTATTTGAAGAGGACGGAGTCAGATACCAAGTTAGCTCATTCGAGTGCTAGAACGTACCAGTTGAAGGACCAGAGTTGGAACGATTTTAGAGAAAAACTCGCCAATTGGCGCCTGGAAATAACGGCGAGCATATCTCGCTCCCCGGCGCAGAACCCGCCTTACCACATAACCACGACCTTCATTGTTTGGCACGCCACCATCGGCGATAGCAAAAGTTAGGGTCCTAACATGATCTGCTATGACACGATATGCAGTGTCGATTCCGTCAACATCTTCGGCACCAAACTTCCCCCCATAAGGCCGTGCTTTTGTGATCTCTTGGATTTTTTGGAATAGGGGAGAGAAAACATCTGTATCGTAGTTGGAAGATTTATCTTGTAGCACTGATACCAAGCGCTCAAAACCCATCCCGGTATCAACATGTTTATTAGGTAGAGAACGGAGCGAATGATCCGGTTCGCGATTGTACTGGATGAAAACATTGTTCCAAATCTCAATGACATTGGGATCGTCCATGTTTACCAAGTGAGAGGCATTGCGACCACCAATATGGTCATAGTGAACTTCGCTACAGGGTCCACATGGGCCCTGATCACCCATCTCCCAGAAGTTGTCCTTCATATTCCCAGGGAGGATGTGGTTGTCAGCGACGCCGACGGCTCTCCAGAGTTCTTGAGTCTCCAGATCCGGTTCCAGTCCACGTTCTTTATTACCCTCAAAATACGTAACATATAATCTATCAGGGTCAAGCCCGTAGATTTCCGTCAATAGTTCCCATGAGTATTCAACCGCTTCCTTTTTGAAGTAGTCACCGAAACTCCAATTTCCAAGCATCTCGAAAAATGTCTACCGATAATGTTAGCAACGCTTAGCGCCAACTGTCGCTTTAATGGGTGAGGTATACATGATGGTAGCTATCTTTTCCGACGTCGTCAAGGTCATTGTGCTTACCCCCAGCTCGTATGCACTAAGGCACAAATACAAATTAGATTTATGCGATCATGTCCCCCGAAACATCCACATACCTTCTGTGAGTTCGCAGCCCGTTTTAAACTGGCGAAGTCTGATGAGGGATCCACAGTCCCGAGAAAAATTGACTTATATTGGTTCATGCCAGCATTCGCAAATAGCAGGGTCGGATCTGAGAGGGGCACTACCGAAGACGATGGCACTATTGATTTGAAATAGGCTCAGCTTGCTGGCGATTTACCCATTCGGTGACCCAATGGAAGCACAGGAGGGACTTACCGAATGTATGGCCATTATTTTTGAAGTAATCAATGAAGGTTTTTCGGACCAAGCTAGCCGGCCACTCCACAGTAGAAAGGGGAGATGCCATTATGGAAGATGAATGAAAGCCGCAACAAGTAAAGATTGCTGCGGTTGATGGCAACCTGGGAACGTGTGTTTGCGTTGCGGTATTCGGGGAACGGCGGTGTATGGGACGAAGAGGGGTGTTGTGGTGGGGAAAGGGAGGGAATAGGAAGGTTCTGCGTCTGGATGCGCACGACACGGTGGCTAGATGCGGGCGAAAAATCTGCATTCCTTTTATGTGGGGTTCTGCGGGGTGTGCACTTGGGGGTTACAAAACGGTGATAGAAAACTCTGTGACTTTTGTCGTCTTCTCTACCTTTTTCCCCTTTCTCCTCCCCTTTTTTTTTCCTTTCTTTTTTGTTTCGCCGTAGTTTATGTTTGCCTTACTTGTGGTTTCTATCATACACGAGCAGTCTACTCGAGTACAGTACCGTAATAACCAAGGTTCCATGCTCTGATTATGTAAAAGTGCTAGCATTACCTTGATATGATAGTGTAATCATTATGGTGCCGGACAACCAAAATCTTCCCACACTGACTGCTAGAAAAGGGGATCAACAACGCAAAGGTAAGTGCAGATATAGGAAATCTGCCTAGTATCTAGTGAAGAGATTTTCCAGGGGAAATTACCAGGGAGGATCTCCTAGATGAGATATTTAATTAATGTCAAAAAATAGCTGAGTTTGTATGGTGTGAGCGCCCAATGTTGGCCAGTGGAAAAAATGCGCCAAGATGCCAAGTGATTCAGTGCAAGTGACCCCATGATTGCAACTATACCAAAGTGCCGGTAAGTCCACTAAAGCGAAAAATATGCACTTAAAAAGAGAAAGAAAAAAAAAGGGAAGAAAAAAGCCTGCGAGCAAGGCGCACACAACCCACGCTCATCCAAGGCATTCCTTGACCACCAAGCTCACGGCAGGCGTCACGGACCATCACTCGGCCTCGCTCTTACTTGGCTATGTTGGAAATGGGCTTCCTAATACGGTTACTGAGGAAGCCAGTCGGAGCTACTCGGCGCTACTCGAAGCAACTCTGAGCCACCCATGCTTTGACCCAGAAAGACTGAAGGTGTTTGGGTATAAGGATAGCATGATAAAACCTCCCTAAAGACTCTTATATGTGACGTAGAATCAGGCTTGCCAAAGACCAGGTTCTCCATAAACGAAGGGCCTCCTGCCATGCTTGGGCCAATGGGAACCTTCAAACCCCACACAAGTTTGGAGACGACAGAGGCAAAAATGTCCCAGCTAGCGAGACTGCTCCTTTCCCTAAATGCCCTCCTAAGAATACCTGCTCTAGCAACCCAAGCCCTGCAAGGGCCTCACTACCGTACTATCATATGCCGGACGAACCGTATGAGTTGGGCTTTGAAGAAATACCGGCTAGTCTTCCACTTGGCAGCTTGACTAGCCCATTTTGTAGTTGGCCACTTTTATAAGTTGACAACTGGCCGGAGCCCCGGGTCGTCGGCTTGGAGGGTGGTTTTATCAGAATTATCGTACTCAAGTATGATAGGCAATCAAATCAGTATTAGAAGGTCACTGCTATTGCCGATTCACACTAGGGCTATCTAAAAATCCAAGGGGGTACCCAAACCGCAAAAATGCGGTTTGGATTCTTCTAGCAGCGGTTGTGGGCAGGGGTACGGTGAGTGGTTAAGGGGAAGCTTCTTGATTGTTTAGGTACTAAAAGTTAACAGAGCTTGTGGCTATCATACTTGCATGGTTTGTCAGGGGAGAACTATCTAAAAGCCCGAAAACTGGTAAGCTAGAGAAGCTCGTTAAAGAAGCTCTCGATACGTCGGAAGAATCAAGGGGCTCAAGGGACGAAAATAAAAGAGGAGAGAAGGGGCAAAAGAAAAGGAAAAAAAACGAGAGAAGGGACAAACAAGAAAGAGGAAAAGAAGTTGATCGATCAACCGCCAACCTTTTTGGTATTCCTTCCACTCTCTTCCTGTTTTCCAATGTTGTGGGACAAATTCCTCAAATATTCCGGGATGTTGGGATGGGTTTGCTTCGCCCTTTTTTGAGTTTGAATACCGGCACGTTAAACCCGAATTGAATGAATGGTGAGCTGCTTATCCACCTGCACCCCATATCTATCATGCAATCGGTTTCCCCTTAATTGTACGAGCACTGGTACAAGAACCGGCCATGCTACTAGTACAGCATCTCCTCGCAATGTATCGGCAAAACTCTTAATGCTGTTAAAGGAAATACTTCTCAACATACACACACAACCCGGGCTCATATGATTTATTATCCTCGTTCACCGACCCGGAATCAATGGAGCAAGACATAGAAAACCTTCAATTGAACAGAAAATACCCGTTTGACACAAGTACTCGAGTATGCCAAGGTGTTGTCCATACACTTGCAAGCCACGTGACACCACCATTGGGTTGGAGAGCGCTGGCCAAAGGCTAACCTTATCTGCTTATGTAATCAACTCGTTAAAGGTGAACCTGAGGGTACGATATCATGCTGTACGAGTACCGTACTCATAGTATCGTACAATACCGTTCAAGTAATTTAGACTATTATCCTCTGGGGGAGGCGGTGGTGCTTGACACCCTTATCAGGCGCTGGCGGTCTACTATACGGAGGAATAGCCCCTAAGTATTGTATATTTTACTAAGGACAGGTGTTCCGCTAGCAGGGGTTAGGGATTGAATAGAGTAGTCATCACACTCAATTAGGTAGTCATCATACCCAATTCCATGCTTCTCCCCGCGCTAGCCGAACTCCCTTGCTAGTAAAATATACAATATTTAGGAGCTACAGTAAACCCTCTCATAATTCTGGGAGACCAGGGAACGAAAAGTGCTGGAATTAGTGGAGGGTTGGAAACACAGAAGATGCCCTAGCAAGCTAGGTGATAGAATATAGTGTGGTTGATATATAAGTGATTGAACAAGTAACTACACATTTATATATGAACCATGGAAAAGCTGGTGGAAAAAAACAAAACTTTTTCCATTCAAAATCCCACAATGCATATTTCTGCGCAGGAGCCCTCCTCTACTTTCTGATTGCCTTATAGGAAATAATGGCAGCTTTATTGTCTTTAACTTTGCTTGAAATTATGCTTATTCACCCCTGAACTCTACTTTAATCTATTCTTGGAATTGTCTGGTAGGTGCTGTTACTTTTTTTGAAGGTGTGAATATTTTTATTTTACCTTTCTGAGCTTTCAGGGAGATATTGGTGGCTGTACCTGATAATCTAATTGCTCGTTAGGTGGAGACAATTTATATAGACTCAGAATCTTCTAGGCCAATCAGGATTTATTTTAGATAAAGATTTGTCTAGGAAGTCTCAAAGGATGACTTGTTTTGTTTATAACTACTAGGAGTAAGGTAAAGTAAAGTAGAATTGGAAAATCAATACTAGATTGTTAATATCTCTTTCCTGTTGCTTGATGATATCTAAGAACTTAGGAGGTACTTTGATTTTTATATTCCATGTCTGAGTGTTCGCAGACTACATCTAGCTCTCATTCAGATTATGTACCTCTTTAACTTTAACTCACAATGTCAGGCATTCTCCTGAAGTGCGAATACTAGGAGATCCTGAAAACCATCCCAGTCTCTTCAGTAATTAAAATTTTACCAATTGAGAACTGTACTGTTTCCAATAGTAATTGTATGATCATTAGAGTCTTTAGACTTATAGCCTAGTTTACAAGTTGAACTGTATTGGTCACAATTTTATCCCTTATTAAGGAAATAATATGTTTCATCTGTAGATCATGTTTGTGGGAGTTGTCATAGATACAACCTTCCTAGGTTGCCAATTCAAACCTCTATAACTTCTCATTGAGCCAACAGATATCCTCCAGATGACTTTCTACTAATTTCCAGGAAGCCATTCTACCAGATTGGCAGATATTCCCACAGTCAGTAACTCTTGGTTATTTTAGGTAATGGGACTTCAGTTGTTGCTTGGTATTAGGAATAATTCCCGTAACCACAATGCATCCTTAGACTTAGTTATAACAATCGGTGAAGTCTAGTGACTTCTTCGGTAGTGTTCTTTAGAGTTTGAGACTCTTCTAATTATCGTAGAGTGAATGAGGATGTGTTGACCCTTTGTAGAGACCTTTTAACATTCAACAACACGTCTTTGTGTAAAACCGTCCCATTATCTACAGCTTATTCCAAAGATGTTCCATCTTTGAAGCCTAGTAACTCTCTGAGTAGTTGATGGATTTACACTGTTCCACTTTGCAGTCTCAGCTGAAGGTTTCTTTATATATACTCTGCAAACAGGATCCGGTCGGATGGATAGCAGTGAGGTATCTGGTATTATTCTGACATCTTTAATTCTGCAGTATAATAATCACAGGATGCAACTAAGATCAGCATATATGATAATATGTGGGCCCCATAAGGGGACCGGAGAGAGGTGTTGGAGACTAGAGATTCGGATTCCAAGTAGTGTTACCTTACTTAAAGTGGTTCCTGGATATCGGGTCTTGGTACTCCTAACATTGCTTGGAATAGAGAAGAATGTTCTGAAGGACAGGATGGTACATAGAAAGTCTGCAGAGGTCCTGGCCTCCTCCTCTTCTATATCATAGTTGTTATCTGCTTCTTGCTCATTATTATCCATGAACTACAAACTCATGATTGGCTCAAGTGCCTTGAACTAACTTCCTCAGAACGGCTACACTGTAGTACCTACTACTACATAGTTGTATGATTTTACCAGTTGAGATTTCAGGTTCCTATAGTTTCTACATGGCTACAAGTTTGTGAAAAGAGATGATATTAGAATTGATGAGGGTATCTGTTAGATGATAGCATGAGTAGCATTCTATCTATTTTAGCAGGTGGAAGTAGTAATTACTACCTGATTGGGTGGTGATAGATATTGGATAAGGTATAGGTTAGTTAGAAACAATGTAGAGAGGCTCCTATGGAAAGATGACTCAGATGGAAAAATAAGCTATTAATCTACGAGGTCTACTGTTTTAGGATATAGAGGGAGAGAGATCATGATTCTTGAAACTCAGGTGAGACAGCTAGTATTGACTGTATTTGAGACAGAAAAGTATAGAAGAGGAATTCAGGTTGTAAGACTTGGAAGTTTTTTGCTACTAAAGGAGTACAAGCTTTGGGAGGTCTTTTAAATAGGTGACA